TAAATGTTTCATTTTTCACTTGGTATTTGGCACATACCCCTGGATACTGTAATTATTCTACCCTTTTTGTCTCTCCTCATTATACATGAAACACTGGAGAGAGGCCATCCTTTCTGATTGAACACTGATATTCTCTTTCAGCCCTCTCATGGAGAGTGTTGGTTTGTGCACAGGGCCTGAGTGTGAGAATATGTGAATTAGCCCTGATTTGTGAATTGGCTGTCATCTATATTTCCATAGCTGTCACAGCCCCGCTGATCTCAATTTCTGCACCTGGAAAATGGGAATGACAAATGTTATTCCTTTCCAACAAAAAGCATGTGGAGAATTAACTCATAGAGCTCAAAAGCACCAGGAAAATGTAAGAGGAAACCGTTCACCAAAGCCAAGTGCTGACCCTCTCTCAGGTCCCAATGGATGTGCTCATCATTGTTTCTAAACAAGAAAAAAAAAAAAAACCCAAAGACCCTCAAACTAGAACTGTGATTGATCGGTTGATCAACTGTGAGCTCAGCGTTTATGAGACACAAGGGTAGATATACAAAATGTACAAGGCAGATCTCATCTTCTAATCAGAGTCAAGTGTCCCTTGGAGTTGTTACATTCAGAGCAGCAGTTTGACCTCTGACAGTTGTGGCAGTAGCAGTGGTGGCTTTCCAGATCAGTGCTGTCCAATATAGTACTTCAGTGGCATTGGCTACTGAAGTACATTGGCTACATTCCAACTGCTCAGAAGCCATATGTGCTAGTGGCTACCATATTGGACAGCACAGTCTCCACCAGCATAGAAACTTCCACTGGACAGGGCTGTCTGACACTGATAAATCTTCCCTCTCACAACTTCTCCAACTGGCCCTAAGTCAACCTTTACAGTAGCTTCAGGTGAGTCCATCTCACACAAATGAACAACAGTCTGAATTAACAGTGCATATGAAACAAGTGTCATATTTTCATACTTTCCTTCACCCAAACCCAGCACAAGAGGCTAAGATAAGCCAAAGTGTATGCTACAAAGAGATTTATCAACCAATAATCAATACCTAATTCTAAAAAGAATTATATCGTGGGACAGGGTCTAGAAATAGTCTATCTTCCTTAATATGTGAGTCCCAGTTGATTCATGGTCTGAATATCCAGGGTTTGACTGCCCTCCCCCAACCTCTCACCCCCTGATTCCTCTGTGAATTAAAGATTGATTTTATTATCCGTCCATTTCCTCCTTGTTTATGGTATCACATCTATTTGATAAAGAAGGCAACGTTAGCAGAGATTTAAGTGTTTTGCATGCTATATATGCAAAAAGGGTAAACATCAAATATAGACACAAGCTAAATGGCTTAAAATGCATTGTTTTCATGCCTTATTTTATTGCCAATCTCATATATACCTCACATCTAACAGGGAACAGGGCTCACACATCCATAAAAAGCTTACAGACCAAGCTATTGAAAGAGTAACATTTAAGCGTAGCATTCATAAAATAGCTAATGGTGCTATAGAGTTGACAGATGCCATAGAAGTGTCAGAGAAATGGATGTTGAACCATCTCCTTTCAAAAATGAGAAAACTGAAATCAAGAGAGGGAACCCCTCTTACACTGTTGGTGGGAATGTAAATTGATACAGCCACTGTGGAGAACAGTAGGGAGGTTCCTTAAAAAACTAAAAATAAAGGTACCATATGATCCTGCAATCCCACTACTGGGCATATATCTGGAGAAAAACATGGTCCAAAAGGATACATGCACCCCAATGTTCATAGCAGCCAAGACATGGAAGCAACCTAAATGTTCATCAACAGAGGAATTAGTAAAGAAGGTGTGGTACATATACACAATGGAATATTACTCAGCCGTTGAAAAGAATGAAATAATGCCATTTGTGGCAACATGGATGGACCTAGAGATCATCATACTGAATGAAGTAAGTCAGAAAGAGAAAGAGAAATATCATATGATATTCTAAAAAGAAATGATAGAAATGAACTTATTTACAAAACAGAAACAGATTCACAGACTTAGAGAATGAGCTTTTGGTTACAGTGGGGAGAGAAGGGTTGGGGGGGAGGGATAGTTAAGCAGTTTGGGATTGACATGTACACATTGTTATATTTTAAATGGATAACCAACAAGGACCTACTGTATAGTACAGGGAGCTCTGCTCAGTATTATGTAACAACTTAAATGGGACAAGAATTTGAAAAAGGATACATGTATATGTGTAACTGAATCCCTTTGCTGTACATCTGAAACTAATGCAACATTGTTAATCAACTATACTCCAATATGAAATAAAAGTTAAAAAAAAAAAAAAGAGGTAATAGTGCTGCAGTTACTTGATGGGTAGTGGAGTCGGGATTTGAACCCAGCTCCTAGACCTGGACGCAGGGCTATTTTGGACCCCGTGTTCTTTGCCCTCCTCTGATAAGGAGGATGAAGGAGATGAGCTGGGAGGGGAGGAGAAGGGAGAAAGTTGGCTTCTCTCAGATGGCAGAAAGGCGAGTCCTCCTGGTACCTGGCCAGCACCTAGGCCACACAAGGCCCACTACTTTGCATGTGAGACACCCTTTCTTCTTAGCCTGAACCAGCATCTCTTGTGTTGCCATTTCCCAGAGTAACCTAAATGCCAACCAATGGGATCTCTGGAACCAGAGTACGGGTGGTGTGTCTTGGTTAATTCATTTTCTTTACAATGCTTTCCTTATGAAAAGCTCCAAGTTCTCTAACTCCATTTCTCTCAAATGGCATCTAAGCATTTATCTCGAGGATTCGTAGATGTGGTTTTAGGGGTCTGTAAATCCCCTGAAAATGGAAAATGAAATTCAGCTCTCAGTCCGTACCATTCATTAAATTATCAAAGATGTCCATGATTGAAAAAGGCTAAAATTTGCTATAAAGGAAGAAGAGAAAGATGTGCTTTTTAGAAGAAAATCACTGAACCCAGGAAAATTTGTAAAATGGCCAGAAGGTATAATAAACAGCAACTTAATAGAAATAAACCATAGAAATGAAAGAGAATACAATGCTCAAGAAGCCCAGGGAGAAGCAAGGCTGAAGATACATTTCCCTTAATTGTCTCTTCCTTCATTCGTCTAAGCCCAATGACAGCAGCCACTAACTCATGCCATGCTAAGGAAAGAACTGAGTGGAATCATTACTTTACCTCCCATTTCCATATTTGAGGAACGTTATCTCTTACTACATTCTGATTCAATTGAAACAATGGAATTGAGAAATGCCCTATACCAAATAGCAAGAAATGTTCACAGGAACCTGATGTACCAGCTATAATTCTAAACTAAAATATTAAAAATTTCACAGAACACATATCATGAATGTTAAAAATACCTGTTGAACTAGCGATACGTGGACAAGGTGAGCCACTGGGATGTCGGCCTGAAGCATTTGACTGTTGCTGTGGTACAGTTCATCTGGTTTTCTGAATTATACGCTTTTCAGGGGCTCTGCCCAGCCTTCCAAGATGAGAATGGTGGTGTAACCACGACCTGACGGCAAGTATTCCAGGTAAGAATATTTTGGTATATTTTAAAAGAAGCTCTCAAGGATGTTGACTGACTTAAAAATATTTTAAAAACACGATACCTTCCAGACCTCTTCAACATCAAGAGGCAGGATATAATGATTTGTATATTTTATTTTGACTTTACATGCGGTGTTAAAAACCCAAAGTACATATTATTTACACATCCACAATACAAGTTTACAAGATATCTATACATGTTAAAGTACTCTATAAAACAGTATAGAGCCACTTCACTTTAGGGTTACTTTTTATGCCGTACCATTAAAAAAGATACAATCTGTGTTTACCTTTGCACAAATGGATAAAGCATTTTAAAATTAAATTAACAGGATACAGACTAGATTTTATGTTAGAAATTTCAACATAAATACTGATAGAACTCACATTACAAACTACAAGGCAGCACGATGTTACAAAATGTTATCCGGGTTCACATAGAGTTACTGTTCCACTTTCCGCACGCTGGGATTAATATTGGTAAGGTGAATTCGAACAGGTTTGTCAGCGATGGACCGAGTAGTGTTTATCGTTGGTTGGTTTAATTTATTATCAATCTGTAATACTTTCGTTTCAAAGCTGAAGTGTTTCAAGAACAGAAGTTTTAGCTTTTGAGCTTCCAGAGACCTCAGGGAATTGTGTTCTTTATTAAACAATATTCTCAAAGGAAAAGAATGACTGCATCCGTATTCTACATTCTGCATCAAAATGCTCTGGTCTTCTGCAACCCATCTCCCCCAAGTAATAGATATCATCACGGGAAAACAGTTGAACTTATTTGTCTGACTAAGTCAGGAGCATTCCTCTGCCTTGATACTTTCTAGATGAGGTTCAATAAACCGTGGTGTGCAGCATATTAACCAAAATCGTCATCAGGGTTGCACGTAATCAACTCTAAGTGGCTTCTGCAAAACTACAAATAAATGACCCTGTATGGTTTCCGCAGGTGTCACATTACCCAGGAAACCTCACTTGACTTCACATTTTCACTGTTTCATCCTTAAGAAAGTAGGAGTGGAGTGTGTGTCCTGGCAAAGGATGTAATGCAGCTATTTGGATAGACTGTTTTACAATTAACTGTTCTAGATTGTTAGGATTTTTTAAAAGTCTTTTCAGGCGCTGGTTGAAAAACATTTACAACTGGCACTCAGTAAATGATGTGCTATACCGAAAACACTTGACATATTTGAGTACTTCTATGATTCTCATGAATAAGGCACAAAATGCACAGATTTAGGTAAACTCACATGTAATATGTACAGTATACTGTCATTACCTGCATGACTTAGGAGAAAATTCTCACATCATACAACATAGACAACATGATTGCACCACGGTTAGGTTTTCACAGACTGTTTCTGCTAAGCCAATTACAACCCTCTCACATCCCCTTCTTTTGTCTTCTGTTGTGTGTGTGTGTGTGTGTGTGTGTGTGTGTGTGTGTGTGTGTGTTTGTTTCACCTTGGGGTTAGGGGGAATTAAAAGAAGAGGAATTTTACTACATGGGAGAAACCAAACACAATCAAGATAAAACCTCATTAGTGCGTCCAAGGTTGAGTAGAGTGATTCCGGCTCGGATTCACAGTGGACAGGTGAATTTTACTACTGAATACTGGTGGATAAATCAAGGATACCTCTTACCATCTCCATCTCCTTAAGCTGGCAAGACTGTTATAGAAGTTTTAGTGAATAGCAGCACAGAATTACTTAGAACTCTTACATTCTGGCATTGGGTAACACGTAAGTCAAGTTAATCATTTTGACCGTCAAAATCAGCCTCGGTTTTACTTCCTTCTCAAAGCTGAACCCAATGGACTGCTGTGGGAAGAAGTTATTGTCTCTTGTTCAGTAATGTGCGATGTAAATAACTCCATAGCACTAAAAGATGCAGTGGGCACCTAAACAAATCCTAGTGGGGACAGAACACACACACACACACACACACACACACACACACACGCTTACACGCACACACACATGCACACGCAACACAGTTCCTTGGTGGCATGAAAAAAAATGCCACACATAAAAAAATGCTACAGTTTGGGTCAAAGACTGAATTTTTAGCAAATTGTTTGGTAATCTACAACTTCTTTTCTTTGAGACATTACCATTGTTTTTTGACATTTGTGCAAGAGGCAAGGTGAATGCATACATATTAAAATGTTCACATTTAATGGGAAGACCACACAGAATGGCAGTCTAAGTTGAACCCATTTTCAAGTATTTGCTCACAGACAGATTCTTCTGAGCACTGTATCAGCTCTTTATACTGGTTACAGGTAGCCCCTCGGAGCCACATATCTCTTTAGTTTCAAACAAAAGAAATGGAATGACCAGCACCTTCCTTTGTTTTCAGGCAAGTACACAGAAGCCTTGCTGCAGTAGCTACGTATGGCAAGTTCTGATGTTGCCAAAGTTAGGAAGAGTTTCTTTGGCCACTTGGTTCTCTTAAAATACAAGCGAGTCTCTTGTCTTAATGTACCCTTACAACATCATCCTCTCAACAACATGGACAGGATAAAGCCACATGGGGAAGAGCACACTTGAGGCCTAGTAAGTGTATTTGTTCAGTGGTCTGACAGATGTGGTTTGGGGAACAAATGAAGGCTTTGGTGGTACATCAGGTTTTAATGACGGTGTCCTCTTTAGTCCCGTCCTGGGAAGGGTGCCATTACTGGTGTAGCTGCTCTGTCTGGAGAGGGAAGGCTGCAGATGAACACTTACTGGTGTTCCCTGAATATAGTCCACCTTCGCCCCTGCGGGGGTGGGCATGTAGCCTCCACGGTTCATACTAGGCTGTCTAGATAACAAAACACCATTTGGTGAACTTAAGTTTTTAGGCATAGCAGATATAGAGTGCCTCTGGGAGGAATTTTTATGATAACCCCTCTGTCTTTCCAGAGAAGTCATTGGGACGCCAGGAGTGGTGGGGACGTCCACTCGCTTGGTTGGGCTATTTCTGGGGAGAGTCGAGGGAGGAGAGTAGAGTGATGCCTCGCGATTAGGGACCTTGGGCGGGACCTCAGACATAGGTCCCACGGGATCCAGCATTAGGGTCTGGTGGGCCACTTGGATGTCTCCCATGATGGCTTTGGGGTTACTGTTTGGGTCATTTAGATGCTTCAGGAGATCGTTGAGGGTGTTTCTGGAATCCACAGAACGCCGGTGATCCCTTTTACTGGATGACTTTGTAAGAGGGTGGTCAATGTTTTGAAGTTTCTTTTCAGCTTTGTGAGCATTGGAGTTTGAGAAAGATGTGTTGTAGTCATGGGTAGCATTAGGAAGGACAATGGCACTGGGGATATGTCCATGACTTAGTGGGGAATGCGGTGGAGGACTAGAAGGAAAGAACTGGGGGGTTTCCTTCCTTGAAGCCCCGTGGCCGTGGGCCTTGTCTGAGTGGCTCTTCACGGCCTGCAGGGTCTTCTGGTGAAGCACAGGTGTAGACTCAGGTGTCGGGAGAGCAGCCAGCTCGGGAGGTTGGCCTCGATGGTCCATGACCATGGATTTCGTATCTCCACTGGGTGGCAGCTCTTTCCGACTGGTCAGCAGGTTACTATACAATTTGGGAGAATCTATATTCTGTTGATATTCCTTGACTGGGCTGTCAAAGAGACCATTCAGCTTGGCAAAACTTCCACTGGAGTCTGTGCACGACTGGGCAGATTCTGCATCTTTATGGATCTTTCTGTTTCTCCGAACAAACATGTCACGATAGCAGTATACTGCTACACCTGCAATGAATGCACCCAAGACAAAAGCCGCAAAGACACAGGTGATGAGGACATTCATGTGGACCATCTGGTTGGACTCTCCAGATTGGACTTCCCATCGTACACCTGCAACAGACACACAGGAGAAGAGTCTGAGTGAGGAGCTTCTTTAAAACAATATTAGCCAGCAAGTGGCTCCCACTGAACCAACACTACCTTCACATGGTCCATATGCTTAGCTTGGAGGGTGAGGTGGACTCCAAAATTCCATATTTTTTCCTTTAATCCCAATAGGATGCCCAGAGACATTTATGATCGCTACAAATACCAGGATAACTCTAATCTTCCACTGATCTGTATTTGTCTTTTCCCCTCCAATCCCTCTTAAATAGTTGTTACATAACATTCAAAATTTTAAGGGTTTCTACCTAAAAATTAGAGCTAGAAGGTATATATTTTCTAAGTGGCCCATTTTAAACTCATAAAATGTTTTTTTCTCATGATTTTCTCTTAATTCATAAATCAGGATTAAAGGGCAGCTACTGGGATTAGGGAAATGTATGAATTGGTATAAATATATATTTTGCTAAAATGATTATGCTAATGCAATTATGCTATCTTAATTAGAATGAAAGGACATAGTTCGTTCACAAACTAAAAGCATTTGCTTCGTCACTGTTAGCTACAAATACAGCCTCTCATGTTTCCTTTGTGTTTTTTTTTTTATTCCATCTTGGAGTGAAGCACTCTTGAATTGCCTGCTCTGAAAGAAATCCAGACAGTCTAAGGAAATATACTATGTTAAGTAATATTATCCAATTGTCTTAAGATATTTAAGAAATATTTAAATTAGACTAGAAATAGAAGAGTGAATTAGTTTATAATTATTGGGATTTTTAATGCAACCACAGACATCTAGACATGTTAGTTTAAGAGGTATCCAAGTCTGTTACATGCTACAAGCACAGCTATCCCAGAGTAAGGTAAGTCAGAGTGATTTGAAGATTCTGTTGCTCTAGGTTAGTACTAAGGCCTTTGAACATTAGTTGTTTTTAACCAATGTTGAGGGCTATGGAATTCAGTGGCATTGTGAAAGACAAAGAAAGAAATGTAGAGAGAAATGGAATTACTAAAGAAAATAAAAGAGGAAGAATGATTATAAAATTGTTTACAATGAAAACAAATAAAACCAAAATCAATAGATGTAAATCATAAATGACAATGCACTGCTATAAAAACTGATTGGAAACCTGATACCACAGTTTAGTAAGCACTAAAGAATAGATTTTTTTTTCCCAGAGTGATCTGTCTAACAAGGTAACTCAGCAGACAGCTCTTTGATAAATGCTTCTATTATGGGCTGAAAATGATAGTTACGGACGAGCACTCTGTTAGGTTTCAGTGCTTGTGGCGTTCAAACAACTTGGCGCCTCCCGTACTTTTCAGATTGCATTGTAAATTGCAGCTAAACAAAAGTCTGGGAAAGGCTCCTCAACAAAACATCCGATATCAGGATATTTGCAATTAATGAGTTTTGCTTTTGGATATCGCTGGGGTGACCCTCGGAATTCTCTGATACCCAGCAGAGTGTAGCTTTTTCAGACAGAAGCCAACACGGATTAGATTGTCTGAGTGGCTGTTTTACCAACTCCTTCTTCAACAGCTTTCCACCTCTTTCATCTGCTAAGGAATGCACACTCCACATAACCACAGAAAACCGGTGTGAGTGTGGCCAGCGGCGGCGATGGTAACAACAGACGCAGCTCCGTCCGGCTTCACCTCCACACGTTCCTCAGAGGTATTAGGAATCAGGTTTCCACTCAGTGAGAGATGAGTTCCCTGGTGAGGCCTTACCCTTTGGGATACCTGATAAAGGATCAGTAAAATCAGAAGTGTTTGGGTCATCTTGAACTACAAATTTCCGGGAGCTGGTCAGTTTAGGTCTCCAGGTATCAATCACTTTAGGTGTAATTTCTGGGATACTTGCCATTGTGGTAACAGAAGATGAAGATACCTCCATGTCTGTGGTGGCAAACAGATTTTTATTAACATGGGTAGTGACAGCGGATGGCTTCTGACTGGTCTGTTGTATTTTCAAGTAAAGTTTAAGCAAATTTTATGAGAAAGCCTGTTCTAGGATTTCATAAAAACACATCCAAGGAGATTATACCAAATCCTTTTCTTGCAAGGGAAAAATATAAGCTAAAAATGAACAATAAAGACATATTAAGCAGATTTCGAACTTGAAGACACTGAAAATACTCCTCTACGAAGCCTCTACGGTGATTAATGACACTCATGGAAAAGGTACGATGAATCCCAAACACTAATTGCTAGTTTCTCATCCTTTTGTGAGACAACATCACTTCTTTTGTGTATATTTGTTTAAAGCATTTTCATAGATGGTTGGAAACTGTATTGCCTTCACTGGGGAACCTACAGTGTAACGTCATCAGAACACACCTGATTAGATCTGCATAAACACTTGATTTTAGACCTGACAAAGAGGCTGTCCTGCTTTACCACAGGCATCTCGTCTATCTGTAGATTACTGACTGCACCGAGGGCTCACCATCCATGGTAAAGCACTGAAGCAGGGATGAACCTTGTCTGTGCCTTCCAAAATGCCCGGGGAGTTTCTTCCAAAGAGTTAGCAGCAACTCATGCAAAAGAAATGGCATTCACAAGCTGAATAAGGATGTTCCGATACACGAGATCTTCCATCCTTTTCTCCCCTCTGAGGAATGAAACTGCTGGTAAGTTTTAGAACCAGCAACAGGATCGGGAGTAACTTAACCTCTTTGTGTGTCTATTACTGATTTCTGCCAAGTAGATTTTCCCTCAAAATGTAAGCATATGATCTTAGGTTAAACCCCTGGAGACCCCAATTCAGACTGGTGCAACGGTCACAGATGAAGACTCCAAAACGGATGCAGACAAGAGGGGCACAGGGAGCCTAGCGAACATCTTAATACATCAGAAACCAGCTTCATTCGATGGGAACCTTTTTCACACCACTGAGACCACAACATTCAAAGGTTTCTAGGATCACCACAAACCATTCAGAAAAGATCTCTCAAATTTATAAATACACATTTTGGGGAAATGTGTATTTGTTTACTAGGTCTTAGGAAAGGTGAGGAGAGAAGGGGTAAATAATGAAATTCTGCCATCCATTGAATATAGATGACCAGAGGGAACATTCACAATGCACAGGGGTGAGAGAGAAGAAAGCTCGGGTGGACGGGCGTGCAGCTGGAATGCAGCCTATGTTAATCCATTGGATTTTTCTTAAAGGATGTGCCTTGGTCAATGATGGGCTGTTAACATGCTACACAGGGTGAAGTGCTGAATAAGAAAAAGTCTTTCGGACCATCAGGGGGGTTATGAGTCAAAGCAGAAAAATGAAGGGCTGCCAAACTGTGCAAAAGGAAGGGAGAAGGGGCTGAAAATGCTGAACTGAAGGAAAGAAAAGGTTGTTAATTCAAAAAAATGAAAAAAAACTAACCAGATGTTGGACCGCCAAATATTTTGTAATCTGGTGTAGTTGAAGTAGGCAAAATTTCTAAAAGAATTAAAGGAACAAGTAATCAGTAAAAAGTAACCAAAAGAAAGCAAAAATTTACGAATTCCAATTAACTCAAAAAGTCAAAAGAAAGGACTATAAATTAAAAGAGTAACCTACTGCTTAGACTGCCTTTCTCTAGATTTCCTACAAGATTGTAAATCGTGAAGGAAAAAAAAAAAGTAAGATTCTTCTCTAATGTATCCCCATGACCAAACAGCTCAGCTTTTGTGAAGTTTAAGTTAAATGCTAGGTGGCATGTGTCCTGAGTCATTATAAAAGGCTGATTGTAAAATAATGTTCACGTGCAAATGTGGTCAAAAAGAAGCACCAGGAGGGAAAGGAAGATTCGGTCTTACCATGGCAGTCCCCTAGATGGGCTGTGTTGCCATATTCCGTGTCCTGTTCAAATCCTCCAGCGCTGTGGTTATGGAAAGCAAAGAAGTCTTCAGTTAACAGCCTTCATAGGAACACAAGTGACAACCAGAGCAGAACCAAGAACACAGATGGATTAGTAAGAATGAGCAGGCAGAAAAAAAAAAAAGGACATTTCAACATAGCTTGCTAAAATGAGTATTTCTAGTAAACATTTGGTAACTAGAATGTTTAAGAGAGCAGAAGAAAATTGGTTCTTTCTCTCCATCCATTTCCCGTAGGTATTTCACTGTCTACAATCTCCCTTCCCTCTCACAGCTCCAGATTTTCTTTTTTTCCTTCTCCCATACAAAACAAACAAACAAAAAACAAAAACAGAAAAAAGGAAAGAAAGAAAGAAAAGTAAAGCAAAAAAGAAAAGTAGTGTTATTGGAAGTTTTCTAAAATTTCTAGCTTTAGAGTCCCTGGAGAAGATAGAAGCACATCTGGAGAAGATCTCAGCTAATGTGACAAAGTATACTTACAGCATCCCTGGGGTCACTTGACCACAGGCCCCTGGGCTTAACCAGCCACAGTACGGGTCTCGAGATGCAATACAAGACCTGTATAAAACCAAACAGAACGTACATTGAATTTTCTCATCATCAAAGGTAATGATGCTGTAAGACCCGGGATAAGGAAAGAAACATCAGCCTACTTTTTACATGATGCATAACGCTCACAGCGACTGAGGGGGATGCGGATAACACAGCTAGAGAACGCCACGTATAAAGCATGATGAACTTTATCCAACTGGAGTGAGATGACCCTTCTGTCCTCCTCATTCTCAGCATTGCACCTGTATTGTGGGAGACATTTTGAAGATAGACGTTTAGGAAGTCAAAAGCTACAGGAACTACACGAGGCAAGTGAGGCTTGGTTTTTGCACTTATTGAGAGCTGGGGAGGCGTTAAGGAATGCTCTCAGTAGCAAACCAGGCAAGCACGTAGTTTAGGAAGTAATAATGATGTGATTCATCTTCTACTGCTCTGCATGGCTGGTTTAATTTCAGGCTGGACAAAGGGTTTTTTAAAGATTGGCTTCCCGTTCTGATGATCGAAGGGAACCGCATTTGTGAACAGCATGTTAGACTATAGGGAAGAAAAAGGATAATGTTTTAATGCATTTAAATCTTCCTGTGCTAGACATTTCTGGATCTCTCCTTAGTCTTCTTTGCTCCATTTCTCTCATCTATTTCTTGTTTGTTTTAATGGTCCACATAATTTTTTATATCAGTGGTTAGAAGAAGTATGGTGTACTGTGTGTGTGTGTTTGCAATCAGCTGTCTGCTCCATGTAGCATCCTGAAATATATCTTCAAGGTAAGAGGGTGGTGGGAAAATATTCTCATTTTCCACAGGTGACAAACAAGGGCTGAATTATTTTTAAACTCATCACTGTCTACCCTCCAAGCCCTAGCGGACTCAGGAAAGCAACAAACCCGGGTTTTATTTCAGTGAGGAAAAAAACAAAACAAAACACTGATATGCCAAACCACTGCTAATTTAGAGGGCTGGAAGGAAATGACTAGAGGAAACACACACTGGAAGTACTAGAAAGTGTTGTCGTATAATATACCTACTTTGCATGGTTGTACGCTTCAATCTCTTCCAGTAACACGCTGTCATTCAAAGAGAAAGGACTGGTTTTTGCCAAAACTTTAAGTACCATGCCAGCTTCCGAGCCAACAAAGATGACTGTGTAGTTCTGGTGGGGTCCCGCAGAATGGTCAACGGCGATGGCCGTCAGTCTGTACCTGCCGGAGGAGGGGAGCCAGGTCAGGGGGGCGGCCAACAGGAAGGGAAGCCACTGGATGGGAGAGGGCCCGTGTTTCTGCACAGTCTTACCTGATCCGAGTCTTTGTGAACCAGGGCTCGTCGGCAATGGGTGGGACGGCAGAGTCCATCAGGGGGTGGGATTTAATGAACGACAGGGTTTCATCCGGGAAATCGATGGAGGTTTTATAAGCTTCGGCAAGCCCATGCTTTGCACAACAGCCAGGCCTGAAAGGAACGTAGTGTGTTTGGTCCCCCCTCACAATTTGTATCTAGGGATTAAGTGTCCATTGTGGAAGACGAGGTCAAGAGAGAAAGGAGAGTGAACCAAACCAGAGGAGCGATGCTATTTCCCTGAACTCTGGGGACTCTCCATATTCAGGCTCTCAGAGTCATATTCACTGACTTTCTGTCTGTAGCGCTGCACAGGGACCCTTCCTGGAGTGGGAGGTTGGCCCAGCTGCTCTCTGAGGATGGATGCTTCCCGTGACCAGAGGGTTTTGTCAAAGACAAAAATCCTCTCCGTTTTTTTTTTTTCTTTTTTCTTACCTTGGCTTCGGTACTTTGTCTTCAGGGACTGCTGTCCAAACAGAATCTGGAGTTTTCTGTTCTTTAAACCGTCCTCTGAATACTTTTTCAATGTCGTCCATGCTAAATGCACAGACTGCAGAACCAGGAATGCTGAAAAAGAGGAACAGTATCAGGAGACAATGGGCCTGTTCTCGGTTCCCACAAGCGAGATGCGGAAGGCCTTTTGAAGTGCCAGGGATCTGTTCTCACCTGTTGAGCTGTGTGGTAAACACCCCGACCACAGTGGGGACGCCATTGATTTGTATTATGTCTGTGACAGACTGCAGAACATCAAAGTAGAAAAAGGAATCTCCGGGGACAGAACAGTTAAGACGAGCCTTCAGAAATGAAGTCCAGTGTTTCTCCAGGACCCGCTGGGAGCCACCCATGTCATTTTTACATATGCGGGCCACACGGGAATATACAGCCTGCCCACGGGACAAAAGCAAAGCAACGGGGTTATGAGCACGTTGGAAGAACGGGAAAAAAAGCTGCCAGATAAGGGAGGGATGAAACATGCTAAAGATACATGTGGTTCAAAAGACTCCGGCAGCCTTCTCCCTAGGGATCTGTATAGTAAGAATGTCAACTAGATTTATCTGTGAGAAAAAAGGGCCATTTTCCTGCTCTGCCAAACAAGCTCCATAAGAAGTGAGCTATCGAACGGCCCGGCTGAATGGAAACCATTCCCATGCTCTGTTCTCATATTGTTAACAAAATGCACCATTCTTAAACCTGGCATAGAAGGGGCCGCAATATTTTAGAATCATATGGGTTTGTACTGAAGTATTCAACAGTGAACAGGGGCCCTTACTTTCCATCCTGCCTTTTGACGCTGAGAAAGAATAGCTATCAATAGATTCTAAAGAGTTAAAGAAGCATCCATAGCTCAAGGCAGCCTGCAGAACATTCTCTGTAGTAACAGAAAAAAAAAAAAAAGAAATCTCAAGGCCCAAGGCTGCTGTCCCCACTCTGGCCATTGTGCAGGCATTCCACAGCAATTATTCTCAGGATAAGCAACTCACCTCTCTGCACTTGGCCCTAAATGCTTTGAGTGCTGGAAAATATGCAAAGACTTTACCAAAGCGGGCTCAATTCCATGCAGTATGAGTGCACAATCATATACTTGCCTTGCCTAAATTATTATGTTCTACAGCAATTTCTCGAAAGAAGAAATAGACATAGTTTCCATATTCTATGGCATGAAGAAAGTGTGGCTCTGAAAGAGAAATTGAAAACAAACTGGTTCCTAAAGGATAATTCAATTAGTATCAGACCCTGACTGCCAGGCATGACTGACAGATGTCACATTGCTACATTCAAGCCAAGGAGAACTCTGATATGCCAGCGAGTCTGTGGAGTCCCAGTATGGGTGTGTTGAAGCTTCAGGGAACCCGGAGTCTTTAATGTTAGCTAATGGACTAGAAAAAGCCTACGGGGAAATGAACTACAACAAAGGTCTTTGTTTCAACAGATTTATTCATTAACCTGTAGTTAACTAGGGAAGGAAACTTCTTACGTTGAAAATAAAAAATCTTGATTTCTAGACTCCAAAGATCAAAATAACTCTGCAGATACGAACTACTGATTCCCAGGGTTAACTTTCCAGGGTAGGTAGATGGAAGCGGGCAAGGATTATTACATGCATTTAGAGTTAGGCAAATGGCACACAGAATTGAGATCTTTTTTTTCAGGTCACTTAGGATAAAAATCTACTTTCCTGACGTGGCTACTGATCTCCTCATCCCCCATTAATGCTCCTGTTCACAACCAAGGCAGCTTGTACTTGGCTCTAAATAAACCATATAAAGTCATGCACTGAATTTCCTGATGCCCAGGTCTCCTGTTCCCACTCGGCCATGGTACTTCCCTTGGTGATCTCCCAAAGCCGTTCTTCAAAGATACCTTTGATCCACTTGGAATCATATTTTATAGTACGAAGGGCAGATCCATCGCCCATGCTTCGATAAATAACGGCATCACTGGCCAGGAAGTCAGCCACTGTGGCAGAATACAGCTTCCCATCTGAAACCAAAGTTATAAATTAGATAAAATAGCCATAATTATCCTAAGTGTGTTATCTTATATAGTGTATTATAGCCTTTGGAGTGATTTCACCTACATTATTGCTACATATACAAATAAATCTAAACCCGATGCTCATAATCAACCTGTGACAGCTTGACCCACGGGATCATCTAAGTTTACAGATGAGGGATTGAAGCATCAAAAAGTTAGGCAACTTATTCAGGGTCACTGGCCTAGTTAACAACAGAGCCAAGTGTCAGAATACTTATAATATGCTCACTTTTAATTCCTCTTTTTTGAAAACTTGTTCATAGCTTTTAGTCTTTTTTTTTTTAGCGGTATGTGGGCCTCTCACTGTTGTGGCCTCTCCCGTTGCGGAGCACAGGCTCCGGGCGTGTAGGCTCAGCGGCCATGGCTCACGGGCCTAGCCGCTCCGCGGCATGTGGGATCTTCCCGGGCCGGGGCACGAACCCGTGTCCCCTGCATCGGCAGGCGGACTCCCAACCACTGCGCCACCAGGGAAGCCCAGCTTTTAGTCTTTGAAACACCTGTGTCAAGGTAGCTATCCTAGTTATGAGCTTTTTTCTTCCTTTAAATTCCTTTTGCACCTTCAATGTCATTAATCATTTATATCCATTACACTAAAGAATCTTACCGGCAAAAAGGGCAACATTGGTTTGTCTGGCATCAAATGGGCACCTTGCCAAGCCACTAATTTCTTCCCCATCATACTCTAAGGTATTCAACTACAAAAGAAAAATAAATAGCTAGTGTCATATCTGTTCAATGTACATGTTTGAAGGCAATACTGCTTTATTTGCGCTGAAATTCTACGGGAAGAATTCTGTCTTTATTCCTCCATAGCATTAGAGATAAAACAAATTACTGGGTCTATAGGAGAAAGGATTTGACGCTAACAACATTCCCGTAAAGGAAGAAAAGTTGATTTAAAAAAAGCACATTGTACAAAATATACTTACCCTATAGTATCTACACATGGGATTAAAAGCATTGGTGCCACAAACAAAAACCATCTCATCGTTTCTCGGAACAAATACTTTAATAAAGTTGTGGCATTCATCCTAAAGAAAGTAACAATTACATTAACATTAGACATTCCATATGCTTACACTGTGGGCTCAAGCCCCCACAGAGACTCAATCTAGTAGGCACTTGTTTGTTTCACTTACTTTATGCTTGCCTTTCATAGCACAGTTTTCTCGATCCTGTTGTCTTGACCGCCATGTCAGTTTCTGTATCAATCAAGCAAACCAAAGTTCAGTATTTTAAATATCGAGGGGAGAGGGACATTAACCAAGTTCTGAGAGAGTGCAAATAAATATGCCAACTACACTTGCTCACCTTGTTTGGTATTACTTCTGTTTTGGGGATTTCATTTAAGTTTACCGTATAAACTTGATCCCTGTTGGAAACAAGGCAGTAAGTCATATCATGTGAATACATAAAAACGTTAAGCTGATTCTTATTTTATTTTTACAGATCTGCTTTTATTGTGTTTTGGAGATCATTTGGATTTTCTCTGTCTCCAAGAAAGTCAACAGAGAGTGTTTTTTCATTAGTGAGTCGCTTTTATATATCACTGTGGTTAGGGAGCAAAGAAAGCTCTTCATGCGTGGGTCAAACTGCTACTTGGTATTAGCACAGACATACTTCTAATATTTGCTTGAATAATTCCAAGTTAAAAAAAGAGTAAAGAATGATTTTTTTCTCCTGCTGCTTTAGGAATAAAGAATGGTGCATGGTTTCTTGATGGCAGTAATAAAATAAGACTGCGAAAGGTTTTTGCTATATTTTGTTCCTGGTACACAGCACTGACTCTTCCGGGTGAATATTTTTGGCTACTTGCAATTTTTGATCACAATACATATTAGTTTTTCATGAACTAGACACATTAATGCAAGCACCACAAGAGAAAAGAATTTTAATCTAATAAACCAACGAGAGGAAAATTACCTGCCAGCAATATAAAGTGTGTCTCGAATTTTCAACATCAGCTGAAAGTCCAGCCTATGCTGTGATTCATTGCCTGAAGGGCGTCCTCTAAAAACCGGATATTGCCTTGAATCTGCAAGTAAAAATGGGCTAAACCATCAGTCAGGATTACGGAGCTGAAGAATCGATATACAGCATTGATTAGCTGTATATACTAGTTGTAAAAGGGTTTTAACTAAATTCCCCTCTTAAGGTCTTGAATATGAATGAATAAAGGACAGTGAATGTCAGCAAATGGTCTTTTTCTTTTAACTGAAAACATATAACCTATATATGGGCTGCTTTAGAAAAGCACCTAACTAAACTGTCCCATTTTCTCCAGACACTAGGAAATGATTATGGATAAATTAGTATGTAAAACATTATAAAGACATAAAACTCTCTCTCTCTTTCTAAAGATGAATATGCTTAGAAAATCAAAACCGAAAAAGCTTCCTTCTTAGAAAAGGAGAATGTTCTTTAGATCACTTACAGTGATAGTCAACAGTATTAAGGGGTTCATCGTCTTCAGGAAAGCTGACTGCTCTCAGCTGGGAAATCATCAGAAGCAGCATGTAGGCACAAAGCAGGAAGAACCTCATGGTGGGCCAAGATGAAATCAGAGCAGCCCCTCCTCAGAAATCCCACTTAGCTACGGGAAAACAGAAATAGTTTGGAAAGATCTCTATGCTGTGATGAAACTGTTTTGTCATTTGCAATCAGCTCAATTTTCACCACCAGCTCTCCAATGCCCCCCCTCCCATCAGAAAGATGGCAGTGGTGGAGGAGGTACCTCTGAAAACACAGGCCAAAGATGGAATCATGCCAAGTCTGATTAAAGCATCTGGTGAGCATATTGAAATTTTAGGCCAATTTGCAAGAGTTTTGGAGGTAACTACATATGTTATCACAGCAAAATCACCAGAACCACAAACAGAAATGCTGGTTGCTGATAAGAAGATGGGCAAAGTTGGGATTCGAATTTTAATTAAACTCCAGTCTGCTTCCCTTCCCCCATCCCTGAAATAAATCCAGTACAGCCCGTCTCTGCCCCCTCCCCACTAAGATGCCCAAGCTGCCTCAAGAGTATCCAAGGAGCTATCAGTCCTGTTGCCCCTCACAGCCCCTTGAGGCCTGCCAAATTCCCAGCATTATTTAAGCCCTACCCCTAAATTCTTAAGTAGAACAGTTCCCTAAGCTTAGAAAGAACAACATGAAAGTAATGACATGAATGACCTTGAATCAGGGTGAAAGAGAATTAAAAGAAATGAAATGATTTCATGATCAATCAATCAGAGAGGGGCCGGGATGCAGCAGCACAGCTGACACCAGATGACTGGGGAAGCCTATATGTTTACATAAAACCATTTGGACACAAACCAATACCCTAAGTATGCCTGTCCTCTTAGCTTTATTAAGCTTTAGAGCCATACAGGGCCTTAGGGACCATCTAGTTCAACCCCCTCATTTTTCAGATAAGAAAACTAAGACCTGGAAAAATTAAGGGACTCGCTGGATTTCATGGAGCTATTTAGGGCAAGATCAGAGTCCAGACTCACATCACCTGAGTCCCCATCCAGGCCTTTTTCATCAAATTAGATAATGAAATTAAATGGCTGGGTTTTTTTTTCTTAGAAGATATAGCACTGCAAAAAAATCTTTGGGGGGGGGTAATGAATACACTCATTATCTTTACTGAAGGGATGTTTCATAGGTGTAAGCGTATGTTAAATTTTAACAAGTTGTACAATTACATATGTGCAGTATATTGTATGTCAGTATCTCAACAAAGCTTACAGTGTTAATTGTACAATATTAACTGCAAAAATCTTTAAGTGTTATTAATTTATTAGAAAAATAAATTAAGGCCCTACTGGGCCAATGGGTATTTTTGCGAAACTGTAAAATCTCTGCTTCGCAACAATATCACTCCTTCTTCGACAGAAACTGTCACTTAGAGCTACTATACTGAACAGTAAAACATTTAGCTTTAGCCTCAATCTCATATGTCTAAGAACTTTAGGTGTGATCATGAGAATCACTTCAAATTCTGGGGGAGTACAACCACTCAACTAAGTACTTCCCATGCCTCTTTCATCTTAATGTCAAAAACACAGATGCACACACATGCATTCTATACAACACTCTCAGTGTTTGTCTTTCTAACTAGAGTAGAAGCCAAGTATGTATATGTGGAACGTAGAATCCTAGGTTTTCAAAAAGAGAGAAATATATTGCAATACGATTTTTCTCAATGGACAACTAATCCAGCGGTAAGTTAACACACTTAAAACACTATATCGCTTATATGTGGAATCTAAAAAAATGGTACAAATGAACCTATGTACAAAACAGAAATAGAGTCACAGATATAGAAAACAAACTTATGGTTACCAAGGGGGAAGGGGGACTAAATTGGGAGATTGGGATTGACACATACACACTATATACACACTATAAAATAGATAACTAATAAGAACCTACTGTGTAGGACAGGAAACTCTACTCAGTACTCTAATGACTTACATGGGAATAGAATCTAAAAAAGAGTGGCTATATGTTTATGTATATGTATAACTGATTCACCTTGCTGTACAGCAGAAACTAACACAACATTGTAAATCAACTATACTCCAATAAAAATTAATTAAAAAATAAAAATAAAAATGCCCTGCAAAAAAGCCTGGAGGAGTGGGCCCTGCGGCAGCATCATTCTATACTCTAGTTGAAAGAGTGTGGACTTTGGTGGCAATGGGACTGGGGCTTGAATGGAACTCCACCACTTACCAGCTAATCGACCTGGGAAAGGTTCTTTGATCTCTCTTCGCATTAATTTCTGTAAGAACTAAAAGCTTGGCACCTACAGTTTCTGAGCAAAGTTAATCTTCCTTGCCCACTTCCTACAGGACACCATGGATATGACCAAGTTGACCTTAACAATATGAGCAAAGTCTGGGGAAAAGATATCCTAAAATATTAAAGCTATTTGGCCAGTTCTTTTCCCCACAAGTGGATAGTTAGTTTAAAATACGAAACGACTGTTCTTAGAATAAATTTTACAACTTGAGCCTATTTATCAAACCTGAAAAAAAGTAAAAAGCAGTCACCAACAATCCTACCATCTCAACCCAACAACCGTAATGATTTCGTTCTAATCTTGCCACACACACATATTTTCAATCATGACAAAATGACCTCTTTCAATCTACCATTTTTCCTGAAGCAGCACCTTCCTGTCTTGCTTTTCCACAGTGTTTTTCCATTTGTAAAGACCCTAAAGAAGATGTGGTATATATACATATACCACATATATATGTATACAATGGAATATTACTCAGCCATAAAAAAGAATGAAATAATGCCATTTGCAGCAACACGGATGGACCTAGAGATTATCATTAAGTCAGACAGAGAAAAACAAATATCATATGATATTGCTTATATGCGAAAGCTATAAAAAAAAGATACAAATGAACTTATTTACAAAACAGAAATAGACCCACAGACATAGAAAACAAATTTATGGTTACCAAACGGGAAAGGGGGGGCATAAATTAGGAGTTTGGGATTAACATATACACACTACTATATATAAATAAACAACAAGGACCTACCATATAGCAAAGGGAAGTATACTCAATATTTTGTAATAATCTATAAAGGAAAAGATCTGAAAAGGAATATATATATATGTATAAGTGAATCACTTTGCTGTTCACCCGAAACTAACACAATATTTGTAAATCAACTATACTTTAATAATAATAATAAAAAACTCTAGACATTGAAGCAGTGTAAAAATATGAAATGTTGTCCTAGGAATTAAAGTCTGCTATTACATCAATCCCAAACTGGATGTTTCTGCTGGGTATCAGAGGAAAAAACCAGAAATACCAATGAATCCTAAAGAAACACAGAAATATCTGCATGAACCCAAGAAGGTAGTTCTGTGAATCTTTCTCCACTAGGACAGGTAACTGAATGGTTCACATTATGTGGACAGAGCTTCCATGCCCCCGACAGCAAGGCAGGGAGGGGCCCTCACCAGGAAGAGTGTCTTTCACAGCTGTGATTCCAGCATTGAGACTGAGGGTGGAATCACTGCTGACTCACTGGCAAGCACCAAGCTGCTGGCTGAGCCATCATTTCCTGTAACTCATTCATCTGACACTGCAGAAAGCAATTTCTCCCTATACCCCACCCCTCACCAATCTCATCCTCCAAAAATAAAACCCCACCACTAATTACTTCCTGTCCCTGCATAAAGCTTTATTTAAAAAATTACTTTCAGATTTGCCACAGAACTTATAAATGGAAGCATTTAATGTAAAAACATATATCAAAGCAAAGCTGAGTAGGGGAGGTAAGAATCTGGAAATACCCAAGAAAAATGTACCAGGAAGGAGGTTTATTTGCATGTAAACCCCTCAGACTACTTTGTTCTCACCTTATTTAAGGAAGTATCCCAGGATTCCAGGGCTCGGTGAAATCATCAAACCAGTTATGTGGAATGAAGGCAAGACATGAGGCAGGACAAAATGTTGGAAAAGAACCTAGACCTTGAGGTTAGAAAGATCTGAGTACAAACTTGCTTGTGCCATTTACTTCCTGGCTCTGGAACCTTGTTTAAGGTGAATTAACCCTTTAAACCTCAGTTTCCTCATGTGTAAAATAGGAATAATTACCTTTACTACCTCATAGGTTCTTCTGGGGATTAAATGAGATAATCTATACAAAACGTCTAACACAGAACCTGGCCTATAATAAATCTCTAGTAAATCTTATTGAATATTATCATGACTATTATTGTTAGATCTTATTGTGCAAAAGGGCCAAAAAAAAAAAAAAGAAATATGTTTACTCTTTCATTTTGTACAGCTATTTATTTACAACTGTTTATGTACATCATCATAACAATAATAGAGGTATTCTTAGAGGATAAGGTACAGCTTCATAGACATTGATGCCTCCAAGAAGGAGGAGGGAACCACCTTCCTTATGTGTAAGCTTATAGTAAAGAACATACCTATATGAGGTTATTCCTTTCAGTGAGAGAGCAGGGAATCTGAGTAAGTATATTTTGGATTTTTTTTTTTGTATGGGCTTCCCCCTTACATTCTTGATTTTAAACCTAAATACAATAAGGATAGCTCTTAAAAGGAGTTCAGAGCTGCCAAGATAGCCAGGGTTTGAGTGACAGAGACTATAATTTTTTACACAAAATGCTCAACATTCAAGCAGCAATTACTAGACATTCCAAGAACTAAGATTAAGAGAGAAAAAAGGCAATAGGAAATAGGACCACAGGTAACCCAGGTATTAGAATTCTCAGATATAGTTTAAAAAAGTAACTATGTTTATTTTGTCCAAGAAAAAAAGATGACAAGATGGAGAATTTCACCAGATACCTAGAATCTATTAAAAAAGAATTAAATATAAATTCTATATCTAAAAAGCACAGAACTAAAGCTTCTTAATAGATGTGTTTAGCAACATATTTCTTACAGCTGAAGAAAAGATTAGTGGACTGAAAGGTAGATTAATAGAAAATACCACACAGAAACATGGACAGCAAAAAGGTTGGAAAAAACAGACCAGAGAGTAAGAGACACACAGGATCTTGTGAAAAGATGTCACATATGGGAGTTCCTG